GGGTTTGTCGTACAAATGCAAATTAGCATGTAATTATCTAGTATCCCGTGGGTTAAATGAACACGCATTGCTGAAGAAAATTAATAAGTAGATGAGCAAGGGCTTCAGGAGAAGATCACCAACAGACATGAGAAATGTCAGCTGGGGGCAGAAATCCTCTCTCCTGCCGTTTCTCAGTACGGCAGGGAAGGGAACTGCAGCTGATCCTGCCCATCGAAGGCCTTAGCTTAGGTTTGAAAGAGGGTGACTTGGCTCTTCTTGGTTCCTGCCATGAAATAGGACATCTCCAGCTGTTGAGAGGATGAACCTACCCATGAAACAAAGAGCTGCTCCTTGGCTCTGGCAGTTAGCAGCTCACGTTCTTCCAGCAAACGTCGACTCCTGTCCCAGATTTAACAAAACGCCCAATACAATTTTAAGGATGCCCTTAGGCTCCTGCTGGCCTACCTGAAGTTTAGTTTTCATTTGTTTTGCTTTCAAAGAAAGGCTGACAGCTGCTGGTGATAGGCATGTGCCCTGTAAGCTTTATTCCACCAAACCCAAACCTCTAATGCAAAAGTTTTTACATTAAATCCTAGATTGTCGACCTTCTTTAAAAAAAATATGCCAAGTAAAGCTATTTTCATCAATTCACATTCCCTTTCTGGAAGCCAGCCAAGGCAGTACTCTGTACACTTAGCATTGCACAGTCGAGATCGATTTTTGTTCTTTTCCTCTTTCCATGGACTAATACATCAATTTTCACCAGCTAACTTTATAGCAGCATCTGCACATCATGGTGGAAAAGGTGTGTTCAACATGAGAAGAACTTGAAGGAGCTTTTTCAAATTTAGTTTAAAAAAAAAAAAAAGCTTAACTTAAATACAGACAGGCATGTGCCTACACTGTTGCAGCCTGAATCCTGAAGGTTCCACATCCCTGTATAATGTAGGGAGCCTGGAGCAAGGTGAACATTAAGTACATGAAATGACATCAGCTCTTGAAGTTCATACCACAAGGACCTAACTTGCTGGTTGGGTACTGAATACCCGTGGGTTGCACTTTGAAAGCTCCTTTTATAGGCTGAAGTCTCCTGGAAAAGCACAGGTGGCTTTAAGTCTGCATTTGCAAAAGCACTCATCTAAAAGTAGGTGCTTCAGATAAATATCCTTGGTAACTAGCATTTACTCCACTTGATAGAAGAAGGCACTTAAAAACTAGACTATGCCGAGATGATTGTGATGGTTTGTGTTCTAGGTTCAGAAAAAAACCCACAAGGGACAGGCAGACCACATCCCATATGAAGTCTTTACTGGAATGCATTTCATCTAAGCCAGACCACCTCTTCGGAGAAACTTCCCTGTGCTTCGTTATTAGAATTTTCCCCTGCCTCCTGCTACCCTTCCTTGGCCAGAAGTCAAAAACCAGTTAGGTTAATTCTTGCTATTGAAAACCTAGTCAAAATCCACAAGTTGTTAATGGCCCGTTGCACATAAAAACCTAGCAAAATAGTCCACAGCTTCAAGGCTGTATATAAAATAAATTGGATGCAGGCACATTCTTCACCAGCCTCTTAAGCCCGCCATCTGTGCAGACTAAAAATAAAGCAGCAGCTTAAGGAGAGGTTTGATAAAATGCATCCGAGAAATGCACTGGCAGAGCTGCGCCAGGCAGAGGGGCTCGTCATCGCTCTCGCTATTTGGGCAGCCCCTAAGGTTTTTTGGCCAGCCTCTACGTGACCTCCTCGACGGACAGGGTACCTCCATCACCCTAAGAGACGGTGGCTGCCGACGTCGCCTTAGCCAAGAGCTCTTTCTCCACGAGAGCAGAGTCCCTGCCAAACTGGCAGGAAAGGCAGATCTAATTCAGACAGCTTATTCAGGGAGTAAAAAGGGCCGCACTTATCTACCTACAATCAACGCAAGAAGGACCTCGGGCACCAAGTGGCACTAACAGACACACGTGGGGAAATGCCACCGGTTTGGCTGACATGAAACTTTCCATCCACTCTGTCAACTGCCACACCTGCCCTGCAGGGGCATTTAATGCAGCTGCAGTTTCTGCCACACCAACGTGGCAACATGGGACAGTCAAGGGTATCTTGCGTCTCTGAGAATTCCTCCACCTCCCACAAAACTCTCATCACTGTCACTAGCAATCATGACAGAAACAGGCAAATAATACAAAATACTATAAAATATTTATAGAAAAATACTTTTGAGTGTTCTTACCATGTGCTTAATTGTAATTAATATAGAGGAATGACACTCAGCTGTGTAAAAAATCAATTAATTGGTGAATACAATGGGTGGTGCTGCTGTATCAGCCGAAGGCCCAGCATGCTTCGGAATGAGAACAACATTGCATTAAGCAACATGAAGAATTCAAGTTGCCAGGAAAGTGAATGGCTCACCCAAAGTCAGGCAGGCGATCAGTAAGACATCCACCAGCAGAAGTTAAGGGATTGGCTCGCTGCTCACATTAGTTACCCGCGAGGAGCTGAGCCAGCCCTTCTGATGGTAAAGGCAAAAAGTTCAGGGTGGTTGGTTTGGTTTTCTTCCAGCAGCAAGTGCTTTGGATATCACAACCAATTACTGCTGATGAATAAGAGTGATCTTAAAACTTCCAGGGCTTGACTACTTCTAATCTCAGAGCAGCAATAGCACAGTTGTGACCCTGCCTGAACATACCTGACAAGATATTAAATCAATCTGATGGAGAACATCTTGCTGCACTGTGATAGTGAGATTAGTAGAGATGAAACTTTCTCCATCAGGCTAGACAACCCAGGAATAATCTCCCAGGACTCAATACCTGTAATATTACTGATAACATTTCCTAATTTGTACTTCCAGTAACTCAATTCCTCTCTATCTTACTCTCTGGCATAGGACTGCAGGGGCTGCTGCCTCCCACCGATGGGCTCTTTGCCCACACTGACCCCCTCAAATCCACCTTCAGCACCATGAAGCTCTAACCAGGCCACCCTCCCCTCCCCCGAGTGCATCAAGCCTACCTCTAAGTGCAAGTTTTCTTCCCAGGTTGCACATTTTTACATTATCTGCTAAAGCAATGGCTCTCACTCACTGTATTTTGGGACTCATGGCAGTGAGCTTCAGATTTCCTGTTAATACAGTAGCGTTAAAGAATAATTAGAAAACAGGCGTTAGGATTTTCTTTCTTGGCGTTTCCAGCAGTATCAGATTCTCAGAAAAGCTCAGGATTAGAAAATGTAAAATACAGGCTTGCTTGGAGAGCCAGGCAGGACACCTTTCTGTGGCCAAGGCTTACCTGAGCAAAGCTTTGGGAAAACCCTGAGCTGAAGATCGCTGTCATGAACAAAAGCAGAGCAGCTTTTAAGTGATGTATTATTTGTCCTGCAACCCTCACTATTCCCAAAAGCCAGGAGTTAATCTTCTCACCAAAACCACAGCTCCCATTATTTTTTAGCAGAAGTAATAGGCGCATAAAACAAAATAGACCCTGATGTTGAGCGGTTTAAAAAAAAAAAAAAAAAAAAAAAAAGCCCCCTCCTTGAACTTCACCCAAAGTCTAATTTTGATCTAGGTATTTCCACACGGGAGTAGGAGTAAAAGACAAAGCAAGTGGGTTTCTGAGGAAGGGAAGTACATGGAAGGCAGCAGCAAGCTAGAAGAAGGTAGGTGCCCCTCACGCCAGCACCGAGTACCGTGCAGCAGCTCTCCATAGGCAGGATGATGTGGTGCCTGCAAGCTGGTCCCAGATAAGCTTGAGATAAGAGGAACTCTCTGCAACAGACTGGCAAAGCAATTTAAAAATACCCCCCAAAAAACATTCCATGCAAATGGTTCAAAAAGTTTATTGAATATTTAATTTACAAAAATCATATCCCTATGAGGTGTTCTATGCAAAATTGGATAAAATAAACTGCATATAAAACCCAACCCTAGTAATGCAAATACAACACAGAAATGAGACCATGGAAAGGAAAAAAAAAATAGAATCATGACACACATATGACATTCATCAAGGATTGTCCCAACCATCCAAGAATTGGTTCAACATGATGCCTTCTTCCTAGACATATTAAACATTTTACCATTTTATACAGGTCTTCTATATCCCGTTGGCCTAAATTTACAGTTTATAAAAATTCTATGCATTCTTTCTTAGCTGTGCCAGTTCGGCCATTCCCATTTTGATCAGAAGGCAGAGACAGTACATACATTGAACACGTGCACTATTAGAACTTGCTATCTTTGGTAGGGACCCTAAATCTGCAGTGAAGTCGGCTTTCCAGAACAACAAGAATTTCAGTTTCGGTTTTGGCAAAGAACAGGTTTACCTTTGTGGTTTAGCAGAACATTACTGGCAGTTTCTGTGAACGTACAAAAAGTCAGGTTGTCTCTTCACGGTGTAAAAATGGGAGATCGTTTATACGGGTTTTAAATCTAATTACTTGTATTAACATTCCTTGACTCAAAATATGGTTACAGAAAATGTCATTACTGCACAGCAGGTCACTCCTTGTACGAACAAAGGATGTATTGCACACAGAACACAACTGCAATTCCATCGGGCCTTTTGTTTTTTCCTCCTGTTTAAAGCAACAAGTCTATTCCTGCAGGTAGTCACACAGATTTGGATGCCAGTTTCCCTTGGAATAAGTAGGTATCTCGCTGAGTGACTCAGTATAGTAATTTTTCCAAGTTTTCCTGGGAAAGAGGAGGGTGAAGGAAAAACAGAAAGAAATTCGGGACAATCAGTGCTAGAGCGTTTGCAGCCCTCCTCTGGGAGAACATGAACAGGAGGAGCAGAATCAGAAAAGATGAAATAATAACAATAAAAAAAATAATCAATGCAAGAGCCAAGGAACTTTTCATTTTAAGAGAGAAGGAAAAAGTAACCAGACTGTTTCCTTCATATCATTAATATTCCATAAATAGTGGACAGTATTTGATTAACTGCCATTAGCTGCAACTTTCAAGCATTCTCTTTGCTTTTTCAAGCACTATCTGGAAAAGAAAAGAAAACATTATGCACCTCCCCAGTCCTGCCCACTCCCGCTTAGTGGAAATGCAAATAACCTGCATAGCCATGATTTTATTAGCTGAAAACATTTAGTGGAAGACTATCTAGACTTAAACACTAAGTAAATCTGCTCACTTATGAGTAAAACATGCAGTATTACAACAGACAGCTAATTGTCCTCAAAAAGGCTTTTTATGACAATTGCTAATTTGGCAGAGAAGAAATGTTTCCAAATGCATGAAAATCATTGGAAGAGCCTTCGTGAAGAACACAGTACTTACAATATATTAGCGATTTCTGTGGCATAAACATTTTAAAAAGCATCAGCAAAGTATTAAATATAAAAGCAATATGTAATTACCCCTCCGTCCTCAGAAAAGCATCATGATTTGTAGTGTATTAAGTCAGATTTATTGACTGGGGAATTAAGGCATAACCAGTAGACAATAGTCTTTATTGTCTCAGCTCCACATAATTGGCGGGGAACAACCCGTATCGGCCTTTGCAGACACCCCTCCACCAGCCGTCATCGATCATTTCTATGTTTGTGATGATGTCATCTGGGTCAAAGGAAATCTCGTCGTCACCCGCTGGGGAGAGAGAGAGATGAAGAGCCTCAGTATTATATTTGCCCTGGTGAGACTGTACCTGGAATCCTGGGTCCAGTTTGGGGCTCCCCAGTTCCAGAGAGACAGGGACCTACTGGAGAGAGTCCAAGGGAGAGCTACGAGGGGGATCAAGGGGCTGAACATCTCTCCTGTGAAGAGAGACTGAGAGAACTGGGGCTGTTTAGTCTTGAGAAGAGACAGCTGAGAGGGGATCTTACTAACTTATAGAAATATCTGAGGGGTGGGGGTCAGGGAGAAGGGGACAGTTTCTTCTCAGTGGTGCCCAGCAACAGAACAAGAAATAATGGGTGTAAGCTAGAACATGGGAAGTTCCACCTCAACGTGAGGAGAAACTCCTTGGCTGTGCGGGTGCCGGAGCCCTGGCCCAGGCTGCCCAGAGAGGGTGCGGAGTCTCCTGCTCTGGAGACTTTCCAACCCGCCTGGACGCGTTCCTGTGGGGCTGCCCTGGGTGACCCTGCTCTGGCAGGGGGGTTGGACTGGGTGATCTCTAGAGGTCCCTTCCAACCCCCAACATTCTACGGCTTGCGCAGGAGTGGTCCTCCAAACCACCGCACCTATCGACCTGCCGTGGCTGGAAAGAACAGACGCCCCTCACCTTCCTCTCTCCTGTCGGGGCATTTCAGACAGGGCACTGGGCAATGACAAGTTGCAAAACGGGTGCTTTCTCATCCTTTGGAGCGATGAGGTAGTCGGTTCTTACCTACAGCATTTTGGGTGCATTTCTAAATTCCAGCACTGATTGCTACCTAATGCACTGAGAACCACTTTATTTTCTTAACTGCTACTCAGAATTAACCAGTCAAGTTTTTGAACAAGTACGTATGCCAAGATTTAACAAGAGTAGAAGATGATTTTGGAAACTTCTACTGTTTCCAGAAACAGTGCCTGGAAGTTTAAAAAAAAAGTCTCAATGCTATTGATAAATAAGTAAAGCCCTAATTCTTTATATCTGCACTTCATATATTACCACAAGAGACTACAAGATGAAAGGCAAAAAAAAATTCCAGATTGATCTGTGCAGAGCAGAGTTTTCAAAGACAAGGTTAAAAACAAGACCTTTGCTTACCAGCTTGATAATCATAAAGGGCTATGGCTGTAATTCCAAGTTCATTTTCGTATTCATCATAAGCATTTTCTTCTAAAGAGAGACAGAGGAGAAAAATTCAAAGCATGAAGCACACCACTTATCACCCCGAGTTCTTTTCTTTAATTCTAGCACTAACCCACACAGGGAGGAGGGACAAACTCTGCAAGTTTTTAGCAGTGCTTATGTTCCTTCTGAAGTGGATTTTTTTCCCTA